CTCTCTCTCTCTCTCTCTCTCTCTCTCTCTCTCTCTCTCTCTCTCTCTCTCTCTCTCTCTCTCTCTCTCTCCTTCTCTCTCTCTCTCTCTCTCTCTCTCTCTCTCTCTCTCTCTCTCTCTCTCTCTCTCTCTCTCTCTCTCTCTCTCTCTCTCTCTCTCTCTGTCTCTGTCTCTCTCTCTCTCTCCCCCCTCTCCCTCTCCCTCCTCTCTCCCCTCCCCCCTCTCTCTCCCCCTCTAATAATTTTTGTAATTGTTTTGGATATTTGCACTTAATTGAATCCGGAGCTCGATGCGTGATATCGAATCGATAAACGAGGAATGAGAATCTAATTGTTCTCATGCTAACTAAATATATTCGAAGCGAATCAGGTTTTAACGTGCAACGAACGATGCATAATTTAAACAAATGCATTACGTATTAAGGGATTCAAACCGGTTCTGGGCAAGAGAAACATGTGTGAGTTTGCCTTCATACGAGGATGGGTCAAAAAGTCACTAATATGTACTAATGAAAGAAAAATCAATCAGATGTACACACACATCAATGCCTGATAAGCAATCGGTAATTACCCCCTTCTGAATGTGCGGCAAAGTCGTACAAGATAAGTGTACTGTTACCGTTGTTGTAGTTTAGACTATTGCTGCTGATGACATTTGTTTGGCTGTAGGAACGGGTCGGCGAGATTGGCTTTATCGTTTCCTTGACTTTATAAGGCTTGGTCCCAATTTGTGGTACCTCTGCACCCTCGATGAACAGAAACTGTAAAATAATATAGAATAATAGCACGACAAATCAGCGTTAGCCACGATAACCTATTAAAAGTAAATAATTATGGAAGCGATTTATAAAGATTTGGTCAGCGTAAACGTCTTTTTAAAAAATGATACTTTCAAAATTCAAAATTCATATTTATCAAGAGAAATAATTTAATGCTAAAATATCGTGATATTTAATTAGAAGAAAAATTGATAAGAAAAAGAATGATTACCTCCACCGTAAGAGTGCCTGTGATATCATCCTCCTCATATGGCCGTGCCTGAAGAGGTATGATCTGCCGTTGACTCGGATTCGCGATAAGTTCCTCAACGCCTACGATTCCTAATCCCAAGAACCTTTGACTTTTGTTGAAATGATCAAACACTTCTAATAGCACCTCACTCGTATTGTGGCTTATATCACTACAAATGTATGTCAATGTTTAGCATCATTGCTCTATAAAATATTAAAACTTACTCTTTTGTAAAAAGAAGTATGATAATTGATCGAATAATCCAGCATAAAATAAAGTAATAATAGCAATAATAATAATAATCGCATAAATTTTCATGTAAACAATTACAATAAAAACGCTTCATCCCATAATGGATTGTTGGTATCCTTTTTTATAGAGGTCTGATTCTTTTGCGGAGGTTCATCCAACTCCACGACGCAGTAAGGCTCCACGGCTCCTTGTTGACCACCGAGGTCGACAGCCCTCACAACTTTCACCAGCAGTCGTCTCTCGCCAGGTACATATTGCATCGATGCAGGTGAGGGTGCGGCGTGTCCTTGAAGACGTTGATGCGGTGGCTGCGGTATCATCGAATTCGAGATGTTCTGCATGTTAAGTCACAATCGTCGCGTATGACAATAACAGCATGACAATTTACAAGTGAAGCATTATACTTTCAACACAGTTCTACTTTCGACAAAAGTGACTTATATATATTTGGAAACTACCTAAGCATGGTAGAAAAGTTTAGTTAAAAAAAATGGAAATATATCTAAATACGTAATATCTAAATATCTAATTAAGACAAGTGCATTGACAATGTCGATTACCTACCGCATTGTCGTAGTGTGTGGGATATGAAAAGGCCAACTGAGAAGGTGGCTCTCTCCATAATCGAGGACACGTGGGATATTGAGAAAGATTGAGATGAACATTGGTGCCTCGCAGGGCACCCACCACAATTTCCGTTACCACTTCTTGCAACTGGCTTTCGTCCAAATCTTTCTTTATTGTTCCTACCGCTGCCAGAGAGATCTTTACCTGTGTGATAGAAATATAACAGTAAGAGATATAATATCAAATGTGTTTCTTCGTTTATCAATCGTTTATATTGTTTTTCTGAACAATTTAAGAAAACATGAAAAAGATATAAAAACGTTGAAAGATTCACATTTTTTTTCCATGTCTGTTGCATCTCCATCGAGATGCTAAACACTAAAGATTATATAAACGCGGCCTAGAGCGAGCGACAAAGAGCTATGATTGCACGGAACGGAACGGATGCAACATGTTTCCGCGTGTTGCATTATAGGAAATTCGTTGATATCAATGTTGCACGCACCTCTGGCCAGCCGTCGCATTTCACATCTACCAACAATTTCTCAGTGATGCAGACGACGTTGAGACGAGCGCGAAAACGATTGACATTGACTCGATAGTGATTAATTTCCACCTTATCGCCTCGTTGTCGAAACGCCTTCAACTGCAAAGCTGGAGTAGCTTCACAGTCGCATGTGATAGTCTAAATGCGAAAAAAGATGATTATACCGTAATATTATGATTTTTTTATACATTAAAAATGTCAATCCCTTCAAATTTGAGAGTTACTAGAACGATAGGAAGGAAAAGAAAAACTAGTTACTTGACACACAGAGAATTCTAGAACTATCAAAACAAGTGCGAAGCGCTCGCACTGATAAAAGCGCAGATACTTAACGAATAATTAACGTACCACATCGTTCTTTGAATCACATTCGCAGAAGATATTTGACAATGTTGGCGGATAAGTCTCTGGAAGTACGCGGACAAATTCTACACCGACTCCGTGCTGAAACATATAAATGTCCAATTGGGACCATTCCAGTCGACAAATGCATACAGAGAGTGCATACTTAGAAACATTTGCGTCGTACTTTTTTAAATGCATGATAATTATTTCGTTACCATCTTTTTTCTTGTTCGGCATGCATTCGTGCGTTGTACGATATATCATTTGTTTGCATATCCATGTTTGGAATTATAAGCTAAGAATAATCTTCGCCGTATCGCTATTTATACGTCACGTTTATAGAGAATACTCTCGATTAATTCAATTGGGAAATCTTTCAGACACAGACTATATATGTAAAATTAATTAATTACTACAATTAAATTAAATACATATCTTTTGTTGTTTTTAGAATGGCCTAAAAAACTTAATTGTTACTGAATATATCTCATTATCCTTGTTACAGTTAATTCCCCCTTATTTTTGCTATTGTTAGTTTAATTGTTTCTTCTTAAATTAATTATTTCATCAAACTTTATTGAGATGCTTTGTGATATATCGTAAACACTCTAAACTTTCCAAGTTCTATTTTTAATGGTAGCATATAATGAATGTGATGGAAAAGAATTTAATGAAAATTATAACAATAAAAACTAAATAAACTTTGTATTTATATAAAAACGTATATTAACGTATCACACGTATCATCAACCGTTTGATCAACAGAAGCTAGGATTGACTTTAACACTCGAAGAAATTTAAATTGTCCGAACGACATGACGCCATCGGCTACACGTGGCAAGGACAGCACCGAACCGTAACGCTTTTTTATATATACTAGTGACCTTTGATGTAATGTATCTTGATCCATGTAAATGACCACTTGTAAATGAATGATTCGAATGATTCGTTTCGTCTTCGACGAAAAACGGAAAAAGTTATGTAACTGAATATATCTTATAAAATATTAATTATAATATTTTATAAGATATATATATATATATATATATATATATATATATATATATAAGTAAATAAATATATATATATATATATATATATATATATATATATATATATATATATATATTTTGCCACGTTTACACGCGGAGTAGCGAGATCAGAAGGCGTTGCCTTCCATTTCAACACCAATCGGTGCACATTCTGCGCTTCGTTAAGCACTTCACTTTGCGTTTCAAAATGAAAGATCAAGTTTATCGATAGACGAAAATCCACGAAGTGCAAAGAGAAACACGTCGTTAATAAACTAATTAAATCTGAGGATTCATATTTAATCATGCAAACACAATCTTTGCATTTCGACAAGATTGGATATTACGAGCGATTCAGCAAACTCGTGAGAGTTGTTACATTTAGCTTTTATGAGAGAAAGTCCGATCAGAAAGAGATAAATATCGAGCGAAAATTTTAAAGTATATCCTTAGGCAAAAGATAACAATAAACGAGCCTCTTATAAATTTAGATATTGGTATTTGAATAATCTTTGTGTGATATTTCAATATTTAAGAGTTGTCGGAATTACAACGATCTTATAATTCCGTATATTTTAATTTAAATACGTAAATAAAAAAATCTATTAAAAAAAAAAAAATGTTTAGCAAGAATTAATCGTTTCGCACGATTTCGCGCAGCAAAAGAATAAAAAAAAAAATAAAAAAAAAATACGGGTTAAATATGGCAATTCGATATTATTTAAATAACGGAAGTATGCTTCAACTATGTCGATGCCGGAAAGAACCTTTCGAGAATTGTTGATCCCTTAATTAAGAAGTACTAAGTAAGTGCATTACTATGCAATGAGACAAGAAAAGTTTAAACTCGCTGAGTTTACTTTTAAAAATGCTTCAAGTTCGCTAAACATCTTATATAGGACGTTAGATAAAATAACTTAATAATTTTTATTTGTTTTTTATCTTTGAATAAAAATGTTGCTATATATGAGAAACATTTTCGTACATATATGTTTCGCGTATGATATTAAACTCATTGTATAGTAAAAGCAGTCTCTTTCATTTAATTGGAATTGCAACTTACCTTGTTCCTTCTCCGGAATTTTTACAGGTGCCTTCTTGTCGGGTGCCTTTGGCGAGCAGTTCTTTCGCGCTGGCCTGACAGTTAATGTCGGTGGAACCTGTCAGAGATAAGCAGATGTAGTTGTAGCGATTCGTCTTTGTTGACGCATAATAGATTTTATCGATGATTTACAAGCGCGTTACGTCAGCGACATGCAAACACGTAAATGGTGTTACTCACCACTTTCTCAGACCTCTCGCCAGATGGTAACCTGGCTATGGCCGCGTCGGGACTGTCCTCGGGCGGTGGAGGTTGCACAATCCAATTGTATTCCCGTTTCTCGACAGGCAGGCCCCATCTCTCGTATTCGAGACTTTGCGTACGCAAGGTTTCGTAGCAATCTAAGCAGACCACTGCAAAATCGCCGTTCTCCAGCAACAAGCTCTTCTCTGGTTGCCTGTGATACCTTAGGAATGGAAAGTCCTTCACTGGCAGCGCTCGTACTCGTTTTCTGTATGTTACGATGCCGCAAACGTAACAGCAATAGTCGTGGGTATTGTACTGACGCTCGGCGGCATTCACTTGCTGACCACCAGAAAGAGATTCGTGTTGACGCCATTGTGCCAATAGTGAATGATAACAAAACGTGCAGACCAGGGCGGAGCCATCCTCGCGAAGCTGTTCGGCATTCGGTGGTGATTGGTGACGCAGCAATTCAGGGAAAAATGGTGCGTTTCGACCTTGAGGACGCCCATATAGTACTCGTGCGAGAGTTAAATCGCTGTGTAAACCGCATAGGAAACAATAAATCGAGCTGCTTGACGTGCCCGGATTGCTTCCGAATGTTCGGTCCGAACTGGAGCTCGGTGGCGTGGCGATTGACCGATTCACGTCACCATTTGGATGTGGACTAGGAATATCGTACCTGGAATTTCGTATCATATAAACGTTACATTGATATAACAAGTAAATAAAGATAATTTCGAGAAACAACACATTTATCTTTACAACATATAATAAAGATAGTTAAGAAGCAACATTTATATCTTTCAATGTAAATTGTAATTTCATAGAGAATATCGTACAGGTAATCTTTGACATGAACAAAGATCAAATCGTAGAGAATAAATATAGCTCATAGATATAATTACAGATAAAGCTATTTTAATTAAAACATAAAATACTTCTTACGTCATATTATTAACATGTGTAATATATGCAAATCATTGAATAATAGCTAACGTAATTTGCGGCAGACTAACCTGCGTCTTTCTAAAGGAACCCGTTCAGCATCCATACTTTCCCACTGTTGCGCAAGATGATTCACACAATGACTACATGCCAATACTCTCCCGTGACTGTCCATACAAGCATTTTCAGACGTACGTGCCATTCCTCTCAAGCAAGGAAAATGCATAGCATGTGAATTCATTCCCTCTGGACTCGTAGATAACCTGATAAAGATAAAACACAAAGAATAAAATTATTGATGTCTTGCAACAGAACCGTATGTGCAATACGATCTTTCTTCTTTTTATATTTATACAGACTTACCATTCCATATGAGTGCGAGGATATAATCTCTCACATATATAGCACCTATAATTTTGGCCAAGCGCAACGGTCCCATTTTCTGCAGGACCGTTGCTAGGTGAATTTCGTTGCCCAGGCGTGGGAGCTTTCACGGTAGTACTGCTTCGTTGCTTGTTTGTAGCAACTGTAGACTTGTTTAAATCGTATGGCTTAAAACGAATATCGCTACCAGCTGAATTGGCTGGAGATTTTGGAACAGCGGGCCGCGGCGACGGACCTGCAGCAAAAATGATCAAGCCTTTTAAGACACATGTCCGTAAACACTAAATAGAGTGTAAATATCCTTTGAGATTAATGAAGATTAACCTTGTTGACGAAAATCTACGTTTTGTCCGGATGGCTGCGCCTCGTGATTTTCTCCACCGAATACTTGCTGCTTCTGTGGGATAGCTTTGTAACAAATGGAGCAAACCTGCACCATTCCCTGAGGACTAATAGGACTAGCTCCTGACGGAGGTCTCAGAGAATAAATAAAAGGGAAATACACCTCTTTTTCTGGATTAGGACAGCAATACAGAAGTCGAATACTAGAAGAAGGGTACTCAAGAGCGCAAGTATAGCAAATAAACGTGGTTGTATCCATTGCAGGTGCTTGTCGTTTGCGAAGCGTATAGTTTCTATCACTGTGCGGTACTCCTTGCCGTGTATACGCTTTCCATTGTATTAAAAGATGATTCTGGCACGCTGAACAGGCCTAAAACAAAAAATTACAGCATAAATTACTATAAAAATATCAACGTTTTTAGAAAATATAAATATATTTAGAAACATATAATCGAGAAATATGTATCAAGAAATATACCTGCACTCGACCAGCACTGTCCATAGGTCGACTTCTACTTGGCCTGGGATGAAGCATCAATGATGGAAAGAACGGCGGTGGACTGGAAGAAGGATTCGGCTGAGTTGGCAGTGGCTTCGCAGCGATATGACTGAGAGATCCCCTCTTGAATTCATCTCCACACACGTAACAGACTTCTGTGACTGAGTTCTTATCCGGCATCGACAGATCCAGGATATCCGTGCCGACGCTAGATGACGATCCGCCGCTATAGATAGCTGTAATCGCGACGTCAGACGATTGGTTACGCGATTCGTTTGTTGTCGATGAACGCTCCATTTTACGCAACACGTAAAATTCGCGAACGCGCGACGCAACTGATCATTCTACTTGTCCCGAGAATCGCAACACGCCTTCGACATTATCATCATCGCGCCGCACGTGGCCCACTTAGGAACTGCACTTTTTTTCGCGGGTTTATCTCCACGCTATATCCGAATACATAGAATGTTGATAGTTTCTCGCGCTTTCGTATTCTTGACGACGACGAGCATAGTGTTTCAATAGCTCCATTTCAAACGACCCGGTTATCAGTCGGGGGCACACGCTGACTAATGAATATCAGATCGGTCGGATCGAAATTGTAGAGGTCACCAAAGCTCAATAATCCGCGAAGACGCGCGGAGAGCGGGAGGAAAATCATCTGGATTCATCACTCAGATCGGTCGTGAGCTTTGAATGAATCGAACAACTCTCTTCGCCACGATTTCTTCCACATACTTCTTATCTACAAAACTGTTAACCTTTACTTTCAAACGTTTACATTAGTGTACGGAAGGCCAGCGTAAATAGCGACCCGATTCGTATATTTACCGCGTACACATTCTAAAGTGAGATAACATAATGGCGGTGAAAAACAGCTTTTACTCCTATCAGATAGCGCTTGTCCAAGGTGATTTCATGTCCGAGTTATTTCGTTAGTGCGCGAAGTGCAAACTTCGGACCCGTATCAAAAACGCTTCGACGTTAAATATTTTTTTTTTTTCATACTGCGTCGTATATATCGTGTGGAAATTTTATCTATATTCGAGTACAGACTGTCATTGACACTCACTGTCAAATTCTTTATACAGTGTCCGGTAAAGCGCAATAAATTGTAATAAAGATCAGCAAAGAAGTGATCTATATCTTATCATTTGAAGATATTAACGCCCAGGCATTCAAGTACTAGAACAAAAGTGGCGAGACAAGTGTCTTATTAATCAATAAATACTAATCTCGCATTTCTATATTTGTCGTCGATCTTGTTTTTTTCATTTTCGCCGAAATCATTTCTTCGCCGATTATACCGCACTTTACCGGACAAACAGTGCATTCTTTGATTCTCTTCAAGTTAGGAATAAAAGCAGTAAGTTGACCTCAGATAAAGATCCAATTAAACTCCCCCGGACAATTTAATAATTAGGAAGATCCCGACGTACAGCTGCCTTTGCGTCCCCTGCTTTACGTATACATTTCTTTAAAGAATGATAGTAATTTTGTTACCAAAACGATTCATAGAAAGAAATAAAAACAAGGAAAAATTACGAAGAAATAGTGGACAAGCGAAACGCAAAATTAAGTACGCGTTTTCTTCTAAATTTTGAGTATGGATCAATGAGAAGCGATTGATGATTAACCTGCAGGTGGTGGTAAGGTAGGTTGAGGCGCAGGTGAACTTCTAGGTGCGTGTCTCAAATCCAATGCTGCCTCATTGGACATTCTAGCGTCCTCGATTGGTTGCCGCGGGCTCTGCAATCTTTGATGAGGTGACTGCAGTCTGTGATGAGGAGATTCCATTGTGAGCCTCGCTTGTTCCAAGTGCCTATGCGTTTCCGCCGTGTTGGAATGCGGCCTCGGTACCTCGGCGACCGAATTCGACGGCGGTCTGACTTGCTCGACGACTCTCGGCGAGGGCGAATTCGGTGGTAATCGTGGTGAGATACCAACCGGTCGGTTTTCCTGTCTGAGCTGCGGCGCCTGGTCGTTCGTTAAGCCCAGAACCTGGGCGGCATACTCACCCTGAAGTGCCATCTCGGCCCCCGTGAACGGGCCGCCGTCGCATCTCTTTAACCAATAAATCCGTTGACTGTGAGGTCTGGCTTCTCGCTCATAGCTTTCCCACTGTTGTAACAGCAGAATGTAACAAAGATTGCAGGCCTTGACAGCGCCACTCCTGGCACCCTCGCCGCGATAGCCGTTCGGCGGCTCGTGCGACTCGAGAAATGGGAAGTAGGGTTCATTGGGCGAACCACCTGGGCTTGGTTTCACTCGTAACCAATGCTGCTCGCTGTGGCCCACGGCGCCACAGACGAAGCAGATCCTCGCACCGCCGCCATCCTCGACAGACGGATTGGGCTGCGCATTCGTGAGCGATTGCCCCTCAAGTCCCGGCTCATTCTTCACATATAATTTGCCTTCCATCATGTCAGGAAACCATTGGATCCCTTTTTAACGCCCTCTTATATCTTCGTGTTTGGCACGCATGTACGATCAGAAATCACAGTGATTGATAGAATTTCTATCTGTTGTGTACACCTGAAAATACAGAATAGATTCATAAATAAGTCATGAGGATGATGTACTTTGTTCTGGCATGTAACTTATCTATTATCGGTATTATACTTTATGATCATGACTAACAATTAAGAAATGCTATATTTCTTTGTATATGTCGGTCAATTATACACAATTGTATTTAGAACACCTCATTGTATGCAAATAAGATTATTTGAGCGCGACTGTGAAATTATCTCATAGATGAATATAATAGATTGAAGACAATTCACAAAATAATAATTCACAATATATATTTGCAAATTTACAATATATATTTGAAGCTTGTAAAGTATTCAATTCTATAATATTAAAATCTATAATACTTTAAAAAGATTTAATTTCTGAAATAGCAAATTATTTTGAACACTCAAAGAATCGTAACAAGAACTTTTTGTGAAAACGCAGAGAGAAAAAACAAATGCCTTTTTAATTGGTTTTGCAGCTTTTAAAAACTTTGATGTTACATTCACTAGTGATATCATGATTCATTCAGCGTTGAATAAGCTGCGTCGCTTGATAAGAAAATATATTCAGCATATTACAGTAATAAAAACGTTTAAAAAATAAACTTGATGGTTTTCAGTGTTGGTGCACGCGTAATGTCCCCAATACGAATCGTTCATAATTCATTATCAAATGGTATAAGGACAGAGAGTAATGCGTCCGCAAGCAGAAGCTTAAGCATCCGATAAGCAGACAGACAGTCTCTTCTCACAATTTGATTACCAGACGCGTTTGAAAGAGCTTCGTAAAATCGTGATGATATCGCGGCATCTATCCGCGATGCACTTAGATCACCGCAGGCACGCGGTGTATTTTTGGAGCATCGCTACATCGACGTTTACCGAGCCCGACCAGAGATCAACTTCTCGGTACATCGGTAAGCGAGTGCTAAAGAATCGTCGTTCGAGAAAGAAGCATGTGTCATCCGCGTGTTTTCAGCGACATGGAGGCGAGGTAAGGAGATTAGAATGCGGGTGAACCCCGTAAGCGAGTGTTTCCCGACCGCGTCGACGGGGACGAGTTTGATCGTCGTCGCGGTCAGGTCGCCGAAAACGGTAGGGCGAGCGGAGCGCGGTGCTCGTTGCACCGAGAATCGACGAAATGTGGTTTGCGAACTGGCGTTCGAACACAATGGTGGTAGTGGTGGTGACGATAGTGGTGGTGATGGCGAGCTCGCCGTTCGCCTCCGCGAGTCCGCGCCGCACGGCCTCGTTGATCGAAGTTCGCTTCGGAACGGCGTGTGCGGGTCTCGCCGTTCCGAGAACTCCGGAGATGGCAGAGCGGACGGACGAGCTGGGCGGCACGTCGCGTTGCGCCGCGTTACGTTACGTTACGTTGCGTTGCGTTACGTTACGTCGAATCGCGTCATATCGTGTCGTGTCGTGTCGCGTCGCGTCGCGTCGCGTCGCGACGCAACGCGACGCGGCCGCACGATCCGCGGAGTTCGAGCCGAGAACGCCGATCTCGCATGTGAACCCCGCACTCTCTTCCACGCCGCTACCGAAATTACGCAGGGCCCGTCGGCACGCGTGCCGCACGGCCCGTATCAGAGATCGCTCGCTCTCGTGCTACCGCGATGTGCAAACGGCACTCACGACACTCACGTTCTCACAGTTCGGCAGGGCTGGCCACAACATCGCGTTGCTACTTGGTGCTCCTGTCTCGGCGGCTGCCGCGGCTCGCTCGCGCTCGGACAAAAGCGGGGCTCCCTTATCGCGCGAGCCCTAGTCCCTGCCATACGTGCTCGAGCGGCGCACGGTGCCGCGGGGTGTTACCTTCGTCGTCGCGCTGCCGGCCGTCCCGCTCATATTTACACGCGCCAACGCCGCCGGCACACGATCGACACCCCTAACCCGAACACGTATCTCCACTGCCGCGCGTAACTGCGAGGTAACGATGGGATCGCTCCTACGGGCGACTAGGAAAGATACATTTTCCGATGGCACAGCACCCGCGACTTCGCCCTCACTTCGCCGCCATGTTGCAAAATCGCGATCCGCCGTCCCATCATGCCACGCAGCTTCATCATATGACAGCGCCGCCGGGACGGCCAATGGGAGGGCGCGGCGCATGCGCACCGTCCCTCGCCCGCGACTGGACTGCCGCCAACGGTAAGCCGGCGCGAAATTTAAGTTCGCCCGTCCTTCACCTTCGGAGATTTTCGAAATCACACCACGATGTAAAATGATTGCATCTATCCTATGCTCGAGTGTGGATTTTCCGACTTTCCAGATTCTTCGAAATTCATTTCATTAACGAATTTAAAATGGAATAATTATCTTTATGGAGGTAGTTATTTAATTTACTTTTCTTTTGTCATGATTAATTCTTTTAATTGCGACTTTTTTGTTTTATCAATGTTTAGTAACGTTTTAATTAAGTCGTTATCATTGTAAATGGATCATTGATTTTAAGTAGAAACGGCAAGATCGTTCATTAAATTTGTATTTACATACCTATCTTTAGAATAAGTAAAGTGTAGTATATTTTTCCAGTTTTGTTCCACTCGCGTGAAGTAATTATAATCTGAAAATTAGATGATTCGAATTTACCACAAAATCATCATAATATCCGATAGAAGAATAAATAAATGATATCAAAATGACATAAAAATATCACTTGCCGTTCTTTCGCTATTATTAATTGTCCTGTTTTTTATTCTTTTTTAATTGATTATCGATGGTACAAATTGTAGAGCTTATTAATTAATATTACAAGAAGATCACGTTTTATTGAACAAATAATATCACAAATATCTAGATGTTGTCCTCATTTTTTTCCGAATTGTTGAAACGCTTCCAAATTTACAATAATTTTTCAACGCTGTTACAATCGCGATTTCGAAAACTGCAGGATCAATATGGACTGCGACTTGCCGGAGGCCATATACCTCTTTTTTTCTTTATGATGTGTAAATATAAAAAAAAGAGAGAGAGAGAGAGAGAGAGAGAGAGAGAGAGAGAGAGAAGAAGAAAAGAA